CATTAAATAAATTTGTTTAAAAACTGTCATAGGCTATTGTTTTGTTCTCCATTTAAATATATAAATAAAAAACCAAGTCGGAAGTAAAAATGAAGACTACAGATGAAAAACAGCTATTCGATTATCGATGACTTTTCGTCACTTATCATCGAATGCGGTCACTTATCAGATAAACCCAAGAAAGATAAACAATAAAGACAAAGAATGGCGATCCAGGCGATTGCATGTTTTATGTACGTCTATTACCCGACTCGCTGTCTCGTTAGGTGTTCAAATGCGGCTTCGAGGGAGAGAAAATCGTGGAGTCCAAGGGGGAAGAGTGGGATTTAGTAACGAATTACGACAGAAAAATAGAAGAAATGTTGACGAAAGGTCTGCGAGAAGAATACCCTGACCACGAGTAAGTTATAAAATCTGTTAGTTTGTAGCAACGAACGTGGGTACCGTTGTTAGAAATTTATTAAAAATCTATATAAATATTATAAAGTGGAAAAAAAATAAAACGCTGAAAGAATAGAAATTGTATGATTGTTTTATAACGGAAAAAACGTTATAGGTTTATGGGGGAGGAGAGTACCGACGCAACGAAAGAGAAACCAGTGTTGACCGACAAGCCAACATGGATCATAGACCCCATCGATGGCACCATAAATTACGTAAATTCGTTTCCATACACTTGCATCTCCGTGGGTTTGTCAATCTGTAAGCAGCTCACGATAGGAATAATTTACAACCCGCTGGCTGGTGAATTGTACACCGCGATCAAGGGACAAGGCGCGTTTTTAAATGGAAAACCCATCAAGACCTCCAACGTTACAGGTGATCCTCCATTTGGCTTCGCTAACGGAGACTTTCTAGCGAAAAACTCGCATGCTTAAACTTTGGAATAATAAACTCGTCAAGGTGAAACAGAGAATACATTAAAAATTATTAGCGCATTCGTCTCGATGATTGACCACGTTCGCAGGCAATGAACTTGCGTAGTGCAACAGGAGATTAGTCATCTATTTCTAAATCACGGCTTACCGATCCCTTTTATAACGTACGCGTAAGGATTTCGCGCGGTTATGCCATGGAGATTTACGGATTAATTTACAAAAGTGTAGTTCATACCGAGAAACAAGTTCTCGTATTTTTGTTGAAGACTTTGTCTAGTCCGAAAGTTTAAACTGGCCTTTTTCTTTTGTAATACCTCTGAATGAGAATTGATCATTTCAAGGGTAATTTTCACCTCTTAAACATCAGCGTATATACAACAATATTTATATCTAGTATTTTCAATGCTCCACTTGTGTACCAAGTTTCGTTAAAATTCTTGCTTCCAAATCTTTGTATGCAAAATCTTCGGGCACAACATTTTTAACCACGTAATCACGTAGTTTCTTTCGCAAGTATCACGAAACTTTCTCACAGATGATTTCTTGCAGACCTGAAGACGTCTCTGGCAGAAGTCGAACTGTATTCGTTGCGATACAACGCGCATAGTCGAGATATCAGTCTGGGCAGATTTGGAGCCATTCTATCGAATTCTCGAGGGTAAGAATAAAAAAGAAAACGTTGCAGAATTCTTTTCAAGCATCTCGAGAAGATATGCTAAACGATCGCAGACGAAGCTCTGACATTCGGAGGAGAACGATCGAGGAATCGAATTTCGTGTCGAGGTGTGAATTGATCGATACTTTGTGTGTTCAGAGTTAGATACATGGGATCAGCTACTCTGTCTCTGGCATACATAGCGAAAGGTGCGCTAGATTGCCTTCAAATGGACGGCCTTCATCCTTGGGACGTTGCAGCGGGAGTGTTGATCATTCGCGAAGCTGGCGGAACGGTGATCGACACAAAAGGTATACATCGATTGCATAAAATAGAAAAGAAGCTAGAAGTTGGAATGATAAGTATTCATGGCCAACAAATTCACGTATTCGAGTAATAGAAATATTTCTTTACAGGGGACGAGTACGACTTCATGAAGGGGAACACAATCGCAGCTGCGAATGAAAAACTTGCGTTGGAAATAAAGCAACTGATAATCGATACCGACCTGAAAACACTGCGAAAGAGACTGGCAAGGACTTAATTAGGAAGAAGTTAATTAGAAGAATAAAAACCGTCTCGAAAATACACTTAGGATAGACTCATCGTTCTAAGCGAGGAATACTTTGTTTTCATTTTACAAATGAAAAGTATTAAAATGTAATAATTGATTATCGTACGGTCTAAAAACGTAACTCCGTCGATCGATGGGTCGCTTACTCGTACGAAAAATAAACGAAGTGATATTTTTAACAATTTTGTAAACGATTTATTAGACGTACGTTTTCTCGTCACGAGAAAACATTTAGAAAGTTCTTTTCATAATGTTCATCTTTAATCGGTAGTAGGTGCGATGAGGTTGTGGATTTCCATTCTTTATCGCAGTCATCTCGTGTCCTCAGCCTTATAAAGGAGGTCAGGATGTTTGGCATTAATAGTCGATCGTAAGATAGTCGTTGCAAGATTGGCTACTTCACCAGCTATTTTATCCGCTAGCTCATATTTAACAATGCCGATAACATGCAACGATTATGCTAAAAACCTGAAACTTCACGTGGCAGGCAACGCGATACCGTAAAGTTACACAAATTTTTCTGATCATTATTTGTATCGTTGTTATGATTAATTCTTCATGGACGCGTGTATAAACAGTTGTCATCATTTGACGAGCATCGAATGAATATTCAATGCCATCGCGTAACGTTACGGCAACGGTTATAGATTTCGAGAAATCTGAGGCAATGCCTGGGAAAACGAATTAAACAATTAACTATTCCATCGACTGCTGGCATGCTAACGAGACTCGCAAAAAAAACAAGACGATTATAAATCAAGTCGAGCCTCCACGTCTGATATACACGTATCCTGTTGCGAGTACATTGCTTGAGAGATAGCTATGCACACGTTGAAGTGCAATCGAAGGTTAGTCGAGGGAATTTAATACAATTCGCGTCTCAAATTGCAATTGCGAAATTTTACGGCTGAATAAGTGTCCCAGAAAAATAGAAGGTTTGGGAAAATGTATAACAAAGACGCTGAATCTTGTGCAACAATCACTAAGACTTTCGTTTAAAATATAGCATGTACAGCCAACAAATTTCAAAATGAAACAATTAATTAACAACGAGTTCTCGAGTTTCGAGATCTAAAACTGTCTCGTCACGCCTCCCGACAAAAAATACCCTTTTCAATGTCACGAAGGCGCTAATCGGTTACAAGGATCGGTAAATCTCAAGGATACGTGGAATGACAATTACGCGTATTATCTTCCAAAGTTCCTTGTAGGAACATTTTATAGATGCTCGTTCAAACAGCGATAGGCAGAATTAGTGCCTGTGAAACTGTGACGAAACCGTCGAGTCATTTAACATGTATTCTTAGACATTAGTTATCAGAGATGGGCAACATTCTTATCAAGATAAACATTTCGTACAACGAACGAACGATGAGAGATTCTTTGTTCGTTACATGCAGAATACAAGTTAGGATTTCAATCATGGAATTAAATATTCAGTGGTTCAAACTCAGTTGACTTCGAGTTTTTGCTTTACTTTAAGGCAACATAACTTAAGGCTGTAAATTGCAGTCCCAACGCTATCATTTTCTAGCATTTATTTCGAAACTACAAATAAGGAGCAGCATCTCAGAATTCATTTATAATGAAAAATTCATTTTGTAATATCGAAACTATTATTTAATTTAGTCAGATTTCTTCAATAGACATAGAGGGTACGAATATTTATGGGATTCACCGTATATTCATAGAATTATATTGGGCTGTCTGGAAAGTCCATGCCGATTTTTAGTAGGCGGTACAGGTCTGAATACATCGGAATGGCTGAAAACAAATAAAATGTGTACATTCCTTAACAGGTGGAAAGGTTGTGTAACAAAATAGTACATATATAATTCAATAAATATACATCAAAATTCAAACATGCCTTTGAATTTTTCTTAAAAATAGGCATGAACTTTCCGGACAACCCAATACAATTACACATTGAGTGTCCCAATAACAAAATCGATAAACTAAAGTATAATCAAATCTGCGATTAACATTCTCCCGAGCATTAGTATTTCGATCTGGATCCAAAATGACGTTCCTAAGCATCCCACTGGTCTCAGAAACTCAACAATCACCAATCTAAAAGATCAGGAAACGAGGCTGCAACCAGTCGGATCGTTTTACCCCCAATAAATTAGACCTGTCTCCGAGCCGACTGTTTGCCGAATTAAATCGCGTAACCGTTTGTCAACTTCGCTATCGCGGCGTGGGATTAAAAAATGAAAAAAGAAAAAAAAGTAAAAATGGTCGCCTGCAGCGACGAAATCGATAAACAGAAACCGAAAACGCGTTCGTGCGAAGGTGGAAGAGCGCGAATCGATAGACCGAGTCATCCTTGAGTCATTCCTGCAACACATTTCGAATCGAACAAAAAGTACACGGTGTTGTTCTGGCCAACGCAGTACCCGCTGATGCGTTTTCCCGTCGAGGATCTAGCGTTCGCCGTTCGCCATTCACCAGGAAGCCTACGAACATGGCGCGTTACGCTGAGGACGTGTACTACGACTTCGCCATCAAGCTGACTCGAGACGCCGCACAAGTAAGCATTCTACCACTTATATACCCTCGGAAATCTAACAACAATTCATCTTCCGCGCTTCTGCGAGCTTAAGCACGCTTCCGGGAGGAAGCGACGTATCCCAATTTTCGTTCCGAGATCGCGAGAGGTCGTCAAACTAATCAACCGAGGTAATCCACGCGAGGTAGACGTTTTTCTACTCTGATGACATCGAACATGGCGACTGATGCTCTATAATTTTACTTATTTTGATAGTACACAAGATTTATGAGACTGACTCGACTCGAACTCGTTGGATTTCACGTATTTTGAATATAGAGATTATTATAGGTTTCATTCGTACCTGTTTCTACCGTGACCAAACGAAGTTGGAGACCACAGTCTTGGAGACATTTTTTTAAATTGAATGCAGAAATATTTCACGTGGTGCCAAGTTGAATAATGCATATACTGTACACAAGAACTGTACAGAAATGTTCGAAAACCTTAGGTAGGTTTAGTGTTAACTTAACTCAGAAGTTATTTGAAATTTATATAACTTCTTCACTAGTTCGCGTACTCGTCGCGCGCTGAAACGACCCAAGGTGGCCAATTCTAATAGACTAATATAACTCTTTTGACGACCTAAAAGATTCGGGTTACGTCAATTTTTCTGCAAAAAAAATCTCTAAGCGTTGCTGCTCTAAACAGGGTGATTCTAGAAACTGGAACTCGTTATACAGTTCTTGTTCGAGCGAGGATAGTAAAACATGACGATTGTGACACTGTTTAATGAAATGTATCTTCGTCTGCGTTCTATCTGCAAATGAATGCAATGTATTTACTTGGTAATTATATAATTTTTCACGTGGATCGATCCATGCCACCGTCGCTGCGTGTAAAAGTATTAACACGTTCGCTATCCGTGACTGTGCGAGAAAATAAGGCTCGCGCGTCCAGGGAAACGATAAGATCTCGAGAGATACTTCGTTTCCTTTTTCAAGACACTAAGAGTGTCGCGTTTATCGATGCTTTAGATTACCATGCATTCAAAAATGTAACGGATCGAATAATTGATCAATTTACAATTAAATTCCGCGTATATTGTTGTTTCGAACGAGAGATTGGAAGGAAAGTGGTTGCAAAAGTTCCTTCATCCTATTTGACGTCATTTCTGATGTAACACTTGTTCAGATATATCGGAAATATTCGCAGGCGGGAAAAGGTCATCGAATAAAATGCTTCCTACATCGACGAGATTACGTTAAATAAATATTAATCACAGTCACAGAAAACTTTCGTAATTATTCATGGATTTTGCTGAAACGTTATTTGAAAAAGTGTACGATAAAAGGTTTAGCCTTGCATAAGTGTGTCATGGTGTGAAAAACATTGGGAAGCACTGATTTACTCCAACGGGTTCGTTCCCCGCACTGCTCACGCATACAAAGAGGTTTAACGAAGAGCTGCAATCGATAAGGCATTTTAATAATTGTGTTATTTTCTGGAATCGCCCAAGGGTGTGGCCTAATTATTTCGAGCGATGGAATATGGAATCACTAGGAGCTATTGGAACGATAAGCAGCGTTGCATTTAGCGACATTGTTCGTTAAATACACGGAAGAATGAGTAATAGAAAGAACGGAACTCATTGACAACACGGGAAAATACTGTGAATGAGAGTGACGCACGTTTGCATCCGTATCAATCGCAGAGGTTTCCCCAGATTTACTCTCGAAAGCGTAATAAGACACCTGTGAAGTTTTCTTAAGAACTCTAGGGTTTTCCTTGTCGAGCGTCACTGAATAGAATTAAAGAAACCAAATGCCTTCCTACTATACAAATCCGCAGGTTTTCCCAGAGTTGCGTTTGAAAGTGCAACGATATCCTTTTAGAGTTCTCTTACACGATCTAAATGTATGATATCTATCTCTCTGTAGTCGATAGGGGAATTACCTTTGGTTACAGTTTCCTAGATGCCATTATCGAATATTGCGTAAAAATGTTTAATTTTTTATTTTGCAACATGCAACCGCCTGTCGGCTGAGTCACTGACAATATCTGATTCAACATTTTTTTACGAACTCTCTGGTTGGTCTTTGAGATACTTGGATAGATTCGATTGTATCTTTAAAGGTTTCTTAACTTTGACTGCTAATGAATATTGTCGCATATCGTCGCCTTATCTTTTCCTTTCGAATGTCCATTTTATTGTGGTTGTAAAAAAAAATCATCTGTAACGTCAAACGAGTTGCTTTGGCCGAAAGAAGTGAAAGGTAAAAAGGGTGACGCACTGAGAAGCATTCATTGTGTGTTCGCGGTGTTGCGTATTAGCATATTTTTTGTTTCGATGCAAAATTGTTGCAGCGGGAAGTTTCGTTGCTAGTTTTTAGCATAATAAAAGGCTATTTTGAATATAAGAATAAGATTTCTAAACTTGCACCTAGATTACGCCATTTTATTCGTACCTTCTTCTTTGGCAAAGACATGTTGGATTCGTCGCAACGTTTTACATATTTCAGATTGCCCTGTCTCGTGTTTCGCTATACCCGCATGTTCTGTTGCAATATCGCAACCGTATTTAATGACGTTAGAGCAGTGCCTGATACGCGAACTCATTCTTCGAATAATTAAATACGAGAAAAGTAACAAGTTCGCGCGTTTTTTTTTAAAGATTCTCAAGGCAGCCATCAACGGACTGAAGAAAGTCGACGAAAAACAAGGCGCCTGGGATCTGGTGACCGAGTACGATCGCAAGATAGAGGACGTTATCATTGGCACCCTCAAAACCAAGTTCCCGAATCATAGGTACGCTCTTAGTTTTTCATTTTTTTTGTTTTTTTTTTTTTTTAAATCCCAATTTATGACATATCGAATAAAGCGGCGATTCGAAAGTTTATCGTCGCTCGAAATTTGTTATTCAGGTGATCATTTTCACTCCGCTCTGATTTGTGCACAGATTCATAGGCGAGGAGTCGACTGGAAAAGAGCTTCCAGAGTTGACCGACGATCCTACGTGGATCATAGATCCTATCGACGGTACCACCAACTTCATTCACGGATTCCCTCACACATGCGTCGTGATTGGTCTAGCGATTAACAAGGAAATGGTGATTGGTATCGTTTATAATCCTATTCTCGAGCAACTGTTCACCGCGAGGAAAGGACGTGGTGCATTCTTGAATGACAAACCCATAAGAGTTTCTCAAGTTCAAGGTAAACAGGATTGAACAATTGGCCAATATTCCTTGTTAGACAAAATTTGCTTGAATAAATTTCAACGAAAGTTTCGTTGTTTTCGCAGACCTGTCGAAAGCTTTAGTTTGCATAGAAAGTGGTTTCATAAAGGTGGACGACTTGAAGGAGAAGACTATCGAGAGATTACAAGCAATCGTATTGGAAGCTCAAGGGTAAGAAGATGAGCTATAACGAATCAAGCTTTTCGTGAACTTTTCGTTCAAATTTCTTTCTTTCTTTGCTTCATCCTTCTTTAAAGGATTCGAACTCTTGGAGTGGCAGCATTAACTTTATGCTACGTCGCAGTGGGAATCGTGGAGGCCTATTATATCGAAGGGCCAGGAATCTCAACGTGGGATATCGCCGCGGCGTCATTAATCATTTCAGAAGCCGGGGGTGTAGTCGTCGACCGTGTAACAGGTGATTGAATTATTCATGGAACGCGTATTTCTTCGAGTTTTCAATTTTCCAGGTCGATAAGAAACGTTTCCCGTGTTTCCGAATCGTACGGGTGCAATTATAAAATCCTTGTACCGATCACGTTTGAATTACAGGGGAGAAGATCGACATCATGAAGCCGCGTGCTGTTGGGGCGTGTAACGAAAAAATCGCGCGAGAAATCGTCAGAATTATTCGCGAGGCTGACCAACGAGTGGAGAAGAGAAACAAATAATTTCAATATTGTAGTTACGATCAAATGAAACAAAACTTTTAGTTCCTACCGATAGCATTGATTCTAAATGTTACCCACACATGGGTGGAAGAGAAACTAGCGTCGCGTCGTTTAGAAGAAAATTCTACCAATAAAAATTTTAATAGAAATAAATAGAAAAGATATTTCTTTAAGCCCCAGATTCCTCTTCCTCGTACTTGACGAATCCATGTTTCATCTCTTATCAGTGATAGAACGACTGGAGAATTTTGTGACGAAACGGGTGTGCTAATGACATAAAATCAAAAGAAAAACAGCTATGAATATTCTGCATATGAAGCATTGGTAAAGCACCTTCACGGTTAATGCTTCTTTATACGAGGAATCGAGTTACACCACGCGACTGAATTATATTAGAGGTAACGATACACGTATACTAAACAACGCATAATGCACGCGTGTGCTAAATCAGACATTACGGATTTTCGCCCCACCTATTTCTCTATCGCCCCGCTCTCTTCTTTCTTCCATTCTAGTCGCTATATAGGCCAGCAAGTGCATCGTTACCAGTGTCAGTTCAAGCAGAAATCTCGAATTGACGTACGCGCAATTTCAGTCGAGTTATCTTGTAATCACCGGTGTAACAGTGTAAGCCTTGCGAGAAGTATGACCGACTCGCACGACATAGAGGAGTATTACAGCGTCGCTGAGAAACTGGTTCTAAAGGCGGGAAAAGTACGAGAGTATACTGTACATAAGCAGAAATTAATAATAATATTAGAAATTTAGGCAGGACTTACCTTGCTATCGTTTTCTTTTTTATCAAATAAATATTAAATTTTAGGTAATAGAAAGTGCGATTAATTTAAAGAAAAACGTAAAAAGTAAAGGTATCGATTGGGATCTCGTGACAGAGTACGATCGAAAAATTGAGGATGACTTACAGAAGCAATTATCGAAAACATATCCGGAACACAAGTAAGCATCTTACAAAGAACAAAGAACGAATATATATTTTTAACGACAAAGAAATAAACTTGTAGGTTTATCGGAGAAGAAGCGACCGCGGGAGGAAATTGTTTACCAAAGTTGACCAATGATCCAACGTGGATCATCGATCCTATAGATGGCACGACAAATTTTGTACACCGATTTCCGCACACGTGTATCTCTTTAGCGTTACTGATAAATAAGAAGATAGAAATTGGAATGGTGTACAATCCTCTAATGAGGCAATTCTTCTCTGCAAAGAGGCACAAAGGAGCGTTTTTAAATGGACATCCTATAAAGACATCGGATGTTACAGGTATATTAATTTGTAAATAAAAGTTAATGAAAATATCATCCTTATCTAAACATGTCTTTCACTCCTTCAGATCTATCGCAAACATTAGTTGCAATGGAACCATGGATTGCCAAAGATTCAAATTATCTGGTCACTGTGTATAGTAGGATGCATGCCTTAATTCAAGGAACTCACGGGTAATTTCTGCTTTTATCTTAAATCAATATTTTTGGAAGTAATATTAAGATAAATCATTCGAAGAAATTCTCTATTTTTAGAATAAGATCATTAGGCACTGCTGCTCTTACGCTATGTTATGTTGCAATGGGTGCAGTAGAAGCATATCACATTGAAAGCATAGATGCTTGGGATGTTGCTGCTGGAAAACTGATAATAGAAGAGGCTGGAGGAACAGTGATAGATACAGCTGGTATGTATTAATTATAAATTGACTACTATTCGAGACTTCAAAACTACATTCTTTTTTTTTAGGTGGAGAATTGGATTTGATAACACCTAAAGTTATAGCAGCCTGCAACAATCAGATTGCCAATCAGCTGGTTGATCTCTTTAAAAGTGCAGACTTAAAAGCTATAAACAGAAACCTGAGATAAACCTTTTCAAGTCGCATACAAAACTGTATTATTCATTCTGAATATTCATGTATATAAATATCAAACATGTACAATAAATCAGTCTTCAATTTTTATTTTATAAGCTACTGATCTATAGTATTCCTCCCTTTGATCATTTATGAATGACACAAATAAATAAAACATGTAGTTCCAAATAAAGAAAGGTTTTTCAAGACAAAATAATTCACATTAATATTGCCCCTTACCTGTGGACCCATGCTTGATTGCATTTGTTGAGGGTGTGACGGATAGTTTTGTTGTTGTGGCGGTGGTTGAGACATAGGTGGACCACCAGATGGAATTGATTGACCAGTTTGATATGTTGGACTATGAGGATGATGCTGTGGGAGACCCATTGGACTTCCTTGTGGATTAGAAGGTGATGGTGCCTGCTGAGGAGGACCCATAGGGCTTGGAGCTTGCGGTGGAGGCATGGGAGATGACTGTGGCGAAGGACTTGCCATGTTAGTATGCTTCCACTTTGACGTGTACAGAGTCACCTGAAACACAGAAAAAGTTATAAATTAGCGATATTATTTATTCTGTTATTTACGAATTCTAGTTTCAAGTCGTCTTTCTTCATAATTGTAAACAAATTAAACACTTGAAACTTTCCTAACCAATACATGTACATAGTCTGATTAGTATCTCAGAAATGTTTTAAATATTGTAATTTTACGAGGGTTAAATCACGATTTTCATGCATTGAATTAATTAATCTCAACTTGAGCAATAATTACGTAATATTAAAAAAATATAAGAAACAATTCTCGTAGAGTTAAAAAATTACAGGGTTGCACAGGTACACAAACCTTGTCCACACACAGGTGAGATTTCACAAAGTACTTAAATTGTGAGACATCGATCGAATACGTTTAGTTGAATTAATTTATATCTAAAAACACATTATTTGGCTAACGTTCGTTAGAAATTGGTTCATCTCCGCGAAAAATCTGACAACTCATTTTGGTTTCTAGTCAGATACGACGATTTCATGCTATCACGGAATTTTGATTACGTTCGCAGAAAACTTGCGTCCATACGTACCGTGTTAAAACTTATTCTCTCATGGAAAGAAATTCCCTTTTAGGCGTACATCCTTGTATATTAAACGAAGGAATTTATCGAAAGTTACACAAAATTGAACAACACTGCAAACACACGCTACCGGCCATTTTCCTGCTGTCTCTATCCGTAATACGTTAACACGTCGGAAAACATGGCCGTCAGTTTGAAGCCACTTCGTACGCCTATGTTTTATTTCCTCGATAAATATAAGGCTCAACCGTAAGGTCAATGAAAATACATAATTAATTCAAACAATTATTTATGTACAAGTGTATGAGAAAGAAGAATTATCTTCGTTTGTAAATAAGGCTTGCAATACCAACATTTTTACATAGAAATTTCGATTATAATATTACGAAGATTTATTAATTAGAATTAAGGAATACTATTGATGAATAGATACTGATAGTTAAATATTTAATTCCTTTTGAATTTTATGGAATGAATTTTTATGTAATTGTAAACAGAAATATGCTTGTTTCGTACTGTTGCAGCCACCTAGAGATGGCGTTCGAGCTATGTATTCATCATTCTGAAACAGAGTATTTCTTAAAATTACTCTATGATCAATCAATACAACCAATAATCGAATGACCAAATTAATGTTTGAATCTGGTTTCTAATTTAACCACATTTTACTTGTCGATATTACTAAGGCATCGTATAATACTTCTTAGAAAACGTTTTCGTATTTGAGACACTAGAGTTTCGTTTCTGTAAACTATTCTGTGGCCTTTCTATTTACGTTACAGAGTGTATAATCTATATAATATACTCTTTTGTATGTCGAGTACTCTTCCTGTTCTGTGGTTGAAAGTACTTTGTGCTTGAGTTTAGTATTTGCTAGTCATAATCAGTTATTGGTCATTAAGTCAGTGCTAGTATGCGCTGGTAGCGAGGGGAATCAAATGTAACTTCCGATATTGCGTTTGGCATTGTTGTATGGTATAAGACTTGTGAAAATGGCTCTCTTGAAGAATTTCGGGAGCTTGTCTAATAAATTATTGATGAAAAATAAATTTGTTTATTCTATTACTAGAAACCTCCTCACTGAAGAACAATTTCGTCAAATAGATGCCGATATTAAACGTAAGTATTAAACGATTTCTATAGGTTAAACTTTATTTATTACGTAAGAATCGTTCAGAAGATTTGTTTACAACCATACGAATGATAATAAAAGAAAAAACTCCATACATTGCATAAACTGATTGTGTATAGTTTTTTGTTTCCTTTAGCCAGAGCTATGAGAAAGTGGTTGCCAGGATTATATCCATTAACAGAAGAAGAGAGAGTGAAAGCTGCGGAAAAATATGGTTTACATCCATCCGAGTACAAACCTTATCCTGATGATGAGTTTGGTGCAGGAGATTATCCAGACCTGCCATGGATAGGTGTAGAAGCAAAAGATCCTTATTATCCTTGGGATTTCCCTGCTTTAAGGAGGAATTATGACGAACCTGTAGGTTTATGTTATTAATAAATATGCCATTAGATTTCTATATTTGGAATAATTACTTCATGTAGCTGTTTAACGTTGTAGATACATAGGCATTTTGATATGATGGGAGAAGATCGGTTTGCTTATGGTGTTCGAACACAAGTGGATCATTATTTAGCTGCAGTTATTTTTGTAACAGTTTTCCTTGGCTCTTTCGTTATTTATCATTTTATGCCAAAAACTAAACCATTTTTAGTAAGTATCAATTATCAAATATATATATATATATATACACACACACATATATATTAACAAGTGAATAACTTGTGATTTTAGGCAGAGAAACAGTATCCAGGGCCAGGAAAGGTTCATTATACCTTTGAACCAGCGAAATAGACATAATAACAGAATGTATAGTAACAAACATGTATAATAAACAAATTAAACAAATACTACAATATATAAGTACTTAAACAATTATTTCTATTTTTATTGAATCTGTACTTTTAATAGCATATTATGTATATTTTTAATTGGGGAATTCATGAAGAATTTTAGAAAAGAGCCATTAATTTGGAATAAATATAGACTAACATTTTTAAATTAATAATAAATCGTGGAACTATTTTTTGTTGTTTGTTTGGTCAGCGCCTCTATCGGGAAAAAGCTCAAGTTTGTTCTCGAATAGTTCTTCTTTCATCGCTGGATAACACCATTTACCGACATTATGGTAATGTGCCGACTGTGTCGGTAAAAAAAAACAGTGCAAATGGCGCCATGTAGCACTAAAAAGAGGAACTATTCGAGAACAAACTTGAGCGTTTTCCCGATAGAGGCGCTGATCAAACTCCGAAAAATAGTTCGGTCCTTCAACACTAGGCGGTGCCACTAACTTTTTCTAACGATTTTTTTGTACAGTCGCCATCTAGCTTGAAAAGGAAAAACTATTTTTTCGACAAACTTGAGCGTTATGCCGTAGATGGCGCCAAAAATTGTTAATAATACTGGCAATAATATTGCATTCTCAGATAATTTATTTATACTGAGACCCCTTAATTCGGTTAAATCCGATACGGACAACAAAAAGTTCGATATGCTTTTTGCCCTCATGAAATTACTTTATTATATTATCTAGTGTTATCAAATACTGCCACAGATTTAAAAATGCTACGCCCCTATTACTATTCACCTATCGCTGTCAGGTATAGATGTATATAGGATCATGCACGTACAGAATGTCAGTTGCTGTTTACGTGCGATTTAAACTAATGTTTTATTCGTTATTTACGTAATAAAACTCCGTTCTTGTGTAAAGAAAATTGATTCACAAACATGAATTCGGGGAATCAGTTGCCTAATCTCGATAAAATTTTTCGAGCTGATGATGAAATGGATTTTTTACCATCGAGAGGGTATGTTCTTTTGTTTTTATTTCATCAACACGGATTATTTACAGTCTGACAGGACAGAAGAATATTTTACACTTGCGTTTGTTTACGTCACTAGTCATTTCTAAACAATGTAATCAAGTAACGTGACATAAAGGTTATGCTGTCAAATTTTTGATTTCTTCCTGAAATATCGTTTTGTTTTGTTCCTTTCCATATCTTGAATTTATTTTTATCGAAGAAGCTGAGGAATATAATTACTTTTATTAAAATCAGCATACAAATTTTTCTTAGATCCAACTTGGCTGCTATTTTTGGGACCCAAGTTAAATCGGTAGATAGTCATTCTTCATCAAAGCAACAGGTTGCCAAAAAATCAAATAGTCATTTGTATCCAACTCAAACAGTTCCAAATAAACCAGAGATCATAATAGCTAAAGCTGTGCATGCATTTAAACTGTAAGTCAATACGTATTGATTACCATTGTTTCCACCCATTCAGTATATGTTAATTAACATTGTTTTTAGACAAAATGGAGTTTATGTACCAGTTGGAAAACTTGGTATGGCTCTTGTAGGAAGTATAACAACAAAAGTATATCAAATTATTTTATACAAAACCAAGCAAGAGCATGTGTCGACTGTTACAGTTACATGTGACTTTCTGTATACAGTACAACCAAATAATTATTCAAGTTATTATGATAGTAATAAGGAAAATTGGTCAATTTTATTTGAAAACAACGATGTTTGTGTAGAATTTGCCAAAGAAATTGGATTAGCTAGATATTTTTCAAAAGATAGGAAACTAGAGAATGTACTTCATCAAGATTTATCACCAGTTAACAAAGATGTAGTAGCAACAGAGGGAGATAATGTGTCCATCAAATATTTTGTCACTTCAGAAATAACACAACCTTTCAAAGGCAATTTTACAGCACTACAAACAATGACTGTAGATATATCTACAGATGATAATTGGGAAAAGACACTTGTGGGAAGTAGCAAAGGATTGAAACGAATTTTATTTTTGCCTCCTAGTAAACAGGTTTTACTTCAATCATAATCTTACTGAAATCGAATAAGTAAAATTCACGCAAGAGTTTTAAGTATAATATTCTATAGATCAGTTTGGGTCCTGGATTTCCAAAAGAGAAAGATGTTTTATTGGAAATAGAAATAATAGATATACACGCACGAGAAGAAATTACTCACGTGCATAAAACAACGAGCGATAAAGCTTCTATCATATCGCGAATGGCAAAAATGGGGCAGTCCATGTTTCCAAAAACTCCAACAAATATTACTACTGACTCTGAAGACACTGAGGTAGTCACGATTTTTTTTACTTGAATTACTCACAATTTGTTACATAATAAATAATAAGTTTTATGTGGTCACAGGATGATATCCCACATAAATCGCCGCGCTACAAAAAGGTGAACAAACATTTGCCTTAATTATTTAGAAATTCGACCTGATCTATTGAATTTTCCGAATATAATATAATTGTTTGACTTAGATGGAATCATCGGAAGGAGGAACTCAAAAGAAATACTCCTTACACGATTCTACACATGAAAAAACAAAAAACATACATGGAGCATTACAACCAAGAGGCGACGCGCCTGTAACAAATATAAGTTGTAAACCTTTTGTTTCTTCATCTGCATTTACTTCTCAATGGTCTTCCACGCAAATACAAGTACATACATTTAATTGCATTGTAATCTATGTTTCTATTTGAAAGTCATTATTATTTTATTATTTGTACATTTATTGTAGCCAAATTTTGTTACATTGGATGGTCAAGTGTATTCATTACAGCCACAAACTGTAACTCCAACAGTATCATCAGTGATAGATCCAGGATTAAACATGTTACTATCAGAAACTAGAATGACAAATGCAGAAGTCAGAATGGGAATCTCTAAGATAGCTGATAATGTGCAGAAATTGCTTGACAAGGTAGTTACATACTGAAGAAATCATACATTATTTATAAAGATGCCATCATATATAATGTACAGTTTCATGTTCTTGAACTACAAAATGCTACATCTCCTATAAAAGATACAACAGTTTTGGATGCTGCATTGAAAATGTTATTAACCATGAATGCATCTCAGACTGGAGAAAAGGATAACGAATTACGGAAAACTAGCGATATTTCAGTTACTGATAATCATGTAGAGGTAGATGAGATGAAAAGTACAGTGACCATGTTAAAAAAAGAATTGGAGGAGTCAAAAGGTAACTAAGTGAAATATCAGTTATATAAAAACTGTGGCAATATAATAATTTACATAATAATTTTTACAGAGTACATAAAAAAACTCGAAGTCCAGAAGGAATCTTTAACACAAATTAATGAAAGCTTAAATAAAAATGTTCAAGAATTAGAGATATCATTGAAAGACACAAATAGTCTACTTGCTATAACAAAAAAAGATTTAGAAGCAGCTAAGGAATTTAGTAGAAATTATGAGAAACAAAATGTTATGTTGGAAGATAGAATCACCAAGCTTCAAGAGAAATGCAATGCTCTAACTTCCGATGTTTCTGTAGAGGTAAGAGAAGCAAGACTCTAAATTAATTACTTTAATAGTAAAATTACCTAAATATTATTAGTAACAATTCCTTTCAGAATGAGAGTAAAAACAGAGAAATCAAACACATAATGAACCAAATTTATTATATGCTACTGGATAAATTTGTAGATGAATCCTACCCTACCAATTACATAAAATCAACGATAGCAAATGTAATAAAGGTAAGCTTGTAATAAAACAATTAATTTATGATGCAATTTTTATTGTGAAGTCAATTTTAGAATGCCACATTGCAAATTCTTTATAACACTAATGAAAGAAGCAATAGAGAAACAGAATCTGCCAAAGCTACAGAAAGCGATGCTACGAAAATTGCAAATGCAGAATTAAAAAATTCTGATTCAAACACTTCTGCAGAACAGTCGCTAAATCAAACAGGAGTCACAGGAAATACTAATGTAATGTTTATTCCTTATTCTTAATTTCATATATTTTGACCTGTAAATAATTTATTTGTTAAATTTATATATACATAGGTATCATTGCCACTGCTACAAGATGAACCACCACCTATCCCTGCTAATGATATCGTAGATGATATCAACTGGCTAAACTGATAATTATATTTTACTATAAGAACAAAAAATGAACCTTAGAGATAGTTAATGTTGAAATATAATGTAAAACATTTGTAATGTTCATTGGTTTCCTAGATTTATAATTTACACATGCAAAGAATTTTGTAGAAGATTAATGATTTATTATTAATAAATACTATTTTACTTACGGTATCGATTATTTATCTTCATCCTACGTATGTATTTTGTGATTTCAAGATGGAATGTCAGGTTATTTTATTTTGTATTTCTTCAAATGCGATGAATGTTCTATATAGTTGAAATGTTCTGATTCGATATAAAAAAAAAAATGACGAATTTATCAATGCGAAAGAGATTTAGCGAATTGTTTCAGTTCAAATTAATCAATCGCGTAAAATATAAAAACGTTTGAATGCAAAGGAAATTACAACAGTTGCGCTGTAGTTCAGTCATTTGTCCTGCTTTAGGAATGGCGCAAAATCACAGTGTACATTTTCATAACAATCGAATACGATAAATTACTGATCAAAAGAAGAAATACCACGAAAAATATGACGAGACGTAAGTTACTCTGCAAAGACTGGAAATATTAATAGAGAACAGAAAATCCCGCCCGACTTTATCCGGTTCTTGAGTTTCTATTTGGCTGTGTTCACGGTTCTATCATCTTGGCTTCTACCACGCCAATCAAATTGAAATCTAACCACAAAACATTGACCAAGAAAAACAATGCTTCCGTTTCGAATAAATCTTCGCTGAGAAATCTATCCAAATATTAGAAATCAAACAGAAAAATGACACAAAGAATAATTGCGACAACATTATTTAATTCCTCTTGGTGTATTCTAACCTACTTTCCATTTTCAAATACGTGACACAATATCATGAATTGTAAACATAACTATTATTGGCCTTAACATTTTTACATTTTCTAAACGATTCGTTTTCGCGATGTTAATGTCATGTAACATGACACAAGAATAGCTTCACAAATAATGCAATTGCTTGATAATCTAAGTATCGTCCAATTAATGAATAACATATTTGATTATGAAATAGATTGTTAGCTGTTGGTTTTATAATGGATGTAAATACGGTGGAAGATGAAGACGTATCCTTCCATTTGGGGGAAATGTTTGACAGTTATGAGGAATTGGAACATAAATTGGAGAAATTTTCAAAGCGTAGTCTAGTTCATTATTGGAGAAGGGACAGCAGAACGGTTAGCGGAGCTCATATGAAAACTGCTCGTCCAATTAGCGAGCGTTTAAAGTATTATTCAGTAAAATATGCTTGTATCTATGGCGGTCAAAAGTTTCTACCTCGTGGAGCTGGCAGAAGACAGTCTCAGTTAGTTCATAAAATTCTATATTGTTAAAATTAGATTGTCAAAGTAAATATTTTGGAATAAATGAATATAATTGTATATATTCCCAAAACATAATGTTTCATACGGGTTACTGTTCCATATAGATCTATACGGACAAACTGTCCTGCTCATATTATGCTAAGAGCATCGAAAGATGGTACAAAGTTAGAAGTAACTAGCGTCAATAATGAACACAATCATGAAATTTCAGAGGTAAACAGAACAATTAAGTAATATCGAGTTAAATTCATATTTGATTTGACTTTATATTACTTATTTTAGGAATTATTTAAAAATCTTCCACAAGAAAGAAAATTATGTGGTGAGATTAAGCAGGAAGTACAAGACCTCATGCAGTTACACATAGACAGAAAGAGACTGAAAGAATACGTTCGTTTACGAACAAACAAAATACTTAGGTCTAAAGATTTATTTAACATAGCAGCAGCTAATAAACAAAAGAGGAACATAACACCGGAAAGGGCATATCAATTATTTAAGAAAATTCACGATATCGAAAAAATGCAAGGGAGAGATAACGATAGGAAAACCTTTTCTGAGTCTGAAGATGAAATTGCACAGACAATAAAGAGAATGAAAAAGGAGCAAGAGTCTCCTTGGGGTCAAGATGTAAGATATCTAAATTTAATTCGCGTAATACGATGCTACAGATAGTCAAAGAAATTCTTTTCCGTTAGAGATTGCCAGCTGAACTAGAAGTAAGCGAAGGGAACGATGGAGACGATTCCTACAGCGGTCAATTAACACAAGAAGAGGTAGTAGATGAAATTGATACAACAGACGGCGAACTATTGAGGACCAATAACGACGGGGACATAATAGCAGCAAATGGTGAAATTGTAGGGGAGTTAGTAATGCAAGACGGAGATCCTTCCGTAATCGTTGAATCAATCGTGAATGCCGATGGTTCTGTTTTCGTCGACGAAAGAGAATTCAATACTTATTGTAATAACCATCTGTCGCATACAGTTGACGTGAGTCAATCCCCCAGCGCTAGAGGTAATTTTAATTGTTTACAATACAAATTTTTTGTTCATACAAAAAACATTACAATCATATTATTTCTAATGTAATTCTATATCAGTTTTAGATATCGAAACAATCGCTCCTACCACCGACATAGAAAAGATCAAGGGAACGTCTGTCTCGCCTAAACAACAAAGCACGTCGCAATCACAGCAATCTGTAAAATCACCGAACGCTTTCGACGAAACTACAGATTCCAGAATTTGGATTATGAAAGAAGCAACGAATGCAGAGACAGAACCTGACAGCGGGCCCGAGAGCGACGCGAATGGTACAAAGTCGACGATGACCGCAAAAGCGGATATCGATGCGTCCGAGGTGATACTGTCTGACGAGGCCAGTCATCAGTTGCTCCAGGAACAGTTGGCGGTGCTTCGTGCGGAAAAGGGGAAGCTATATCACGAGACTGAAATGCTAAAACTTAAAAAGGACAAGTTAAAGTTACAGATAAACTGTTACTCGAACGAGATACGGAAGCAAGAAATGGAGAAAGAGAAGCTGAGGCTCGAGATTAAGTTGCTGCAGTCCAAAGTTATGGAAGATTCCAACGATGTTTCCCATTATATTTTTGTGCCTTGAGTGATACATCGTAACGGAACAATTGTGTGATCGTAAAGGAGAAATATTACGCGAGTGAATTTTCAGCAATTTTTTGTCTTTTAACAGTGATTTCATTCGAATCGTCTTTGAAGTAATAATTCGATTCATTTCTATACGCATATAATAACAAAATTATTCAACGTGAAATTATTCACCCGTAAGGATTTATTTCTTATATCCGAGGACATTTTACAAATTTATTTTCGATCAAGGTAGACAAAAAAGTACCATCAGAGTCACTGAATAATCTTTTTAAGTATTTACAATAATAATCGATTCTGTGATTTTTCATTAATATAATGTTTTGTTGACAATGATGAAACGCTGGAGACGAAAAGCTGTTGTATAAAGTATTCGTTAAGCGAGTAATGTGGTCGAATATAGTATGTTTGTATAGCTAGAATAATAAATTATTTTGCAAAAAAATCATTTCCTTTGTATGCAAATCCTATGTTCTGAGGCGAAATAATAAAAAAATTTGCAAGTGTTTACACGTTAATCTATTAATATTAACTACGTGACCTACATACTCACTTCCTCTTCGAGCTTCTTTACGTCTGCGATCAAGACTTTTATATCCTTCGCCCTGTAGAAAAAGAAGCTTTGTTATACATTCATGAAACAGAGACTGCAATACGTACATGTGACCAAGAGTATTTTGAATGGTTTTTTCTTGATCGCCTTTAAAAACGATTTGCTTCCTCCTTTCGTTGCATTCACTGTTCTCTATATGCACAGCCTGTTGTTCCGATTTCGTTTTGAGCTCTTCCAACCTAATCTTCATCTCCTTTATTTTCATCTCCATTTTCTTTAATTCCTCTGCTTCTGCTCTTTCGGTCGGAGTGATAGAAGGTTCCTTATAATTTACCAATCGTAATACTTCTTTTGCTCTACAAACAAATATAACTTGACGAGGATTTCTGATTGCGTTACAGTGGTTTTACGGTAAGTCCTATTACGGGGGACCTCTTTCGACGTCCGAGAGACGAGTTCTTTTTACCTGCGCGCTAATTTCTCCTGCTCATCCTTAATTTCTTCGTAGCGTTCAGCCAAACGTTCGGCAGTCTGCTGCAATTCTTTCTTCGCTTCCATTAAATTGCTTAGTTCGTTCAGCTGATGCGATTTCGTTACTTTCAACGCCCGCACTTTATTACCAATTTCCTCTCTCACGTTGTCGTGTCTGACAAAGTGTTCCTTGCGAAAGATGTCCGTCGCGTGATACAGAAGCTGTTTGCAAACGAGCTCTTATTAGTTTTCGTCCGAATCCCATGATAATCTACTCGATTACCTTTAAACGTTCTCGCGGTGACATCGACTTCGATCCAATTTTTATAATCGGCTGCGACGTCTCGCGTTTCAACAATTTCTTTATGTAGACATCGAAGTCTTCTTTGCTCACCTTAAATATAAATCGTTTCACGTGACGTGTACCGATACGATAATTATTCGAGTTCCTATTGCTTACTTGTCTTTCTGAGTTAATCATGGGCTCGGGAGATTCGATCTTTGGAAAATAATGAAGATCGATGACGGAACGAGCAACGACATCCCCTGTGTGTAGCAAAGCCACCAAGACGCAGGGCTCCTGAAGAAGTCCAAAGCCGAGAATCGATGAGACTTCGTCCGTTGGTGTGTGTTTGGTTCTCCTACAAATCAAGTACTGCGAACTGGACTGATACGACAGCATTGGTAGACGGTCTTCGTCATTCTCTGAAAGAATTCACTGAATACTTCCTGTATCTCTCGCGATTCTCTTTTCTCAAAATTCGTTCGAAAACGTTGCAAGTTTTTACGAGTTTTAATTACCCTCCGAAGTGCTAATGTATTCCTCCAATTGAGAGACCATTGGTAGACTGACCATATGGATTCCAGCGTTGTGGGAGCAAAAATACCTAATACGCGAAATGAGTTACTAATTATCATGCATTTTAGTCTGTTTCGATCGCGGAACCTTACCTGGATTTATTGTCCTTATCACAACGGAGGTGTATGGGGCAATTGTATTTTTTATCAGTGTCTGTGAAAAAGAGTCCCAGTTCTATTTCAACGCACTCGTAGACATAAAGGGCCTCGTCTGGCGTATGAAGACTATGATTGGAACCGTACTGAGACCATGTCTGAAAGTTACAGAGACCGAGTAAGTGCACGTCGACGTTGCCTTCGAGAAACAGCGAAAACCCACTCACCCTTCTGTCGTCGTCGTCGACATCGTTTGATTCCTCTTTCAACAATATCGCGTGATAAATCTTTCCAGTACACATAGCGATGACCACTATCGGTGGGGTAGTTTGCACGCACATTATGGAACACGAGTCTATCCCGTAATTATCGTCAGCTGGAGGATACATAGAGAGCGATCCTGATACCAACGGCTTTTCGTGACTTAACAATTAACAATACACGAGAAATAAGATACGTTATAAACCTATATAAAATAGAATTCATTTTTGTATATCTGTTTAATGTCTAAATACAGAACAAATCAAATTTAATTTTGTCAACTGTTCTTAAGTATACGGCCGTTATTGTACTTAACATACTTATCGAGCAACACGTTGCCACGAACAATGAGCACCTCCCCGTTTCCACGAAGGACCAGAATGGGCCACTCGATCTGATTCCAATCGACCACGTTGTTCTGAAAATAGTTCTGAGTAACGTTCCATGTCTACCATGGAAAATCGCGCAGTTTTCTTTTCTACTAAACCTTGTTAATGTCTTTGCCAGCGAACATTTCCGGTTTGCGAAGGGTAGGCGTGGCAAAGTCGAAGTCCACCGCGGTGTCACCGAGAGAGGAAAAGTCCGGTAGCTTCGACGGTGAGCTCGATGGCGTACGACCAACCTTCCAGCGTTTTATGAGCCTCGGTGCGCTACCGAGTTCGCACTCATATAAACTGGTAGAAAGTAAAATGCAGCTTAGGGTCAGTTTCACGATACTTCTAGAGATACTTCAATCTCTTCGCGTAAGCTCCTTAAACTTTTAATTTACAAGCCCCCGTTTAAGGTAAGCAATTAAGAAAATGGTTCTAGTTGTATTATCGACTCGCGAGTCCGAAGTCTCCGAAGAATCTCTTTTGATTGGATGATCATTGCTTAAACATTTTTAGAACTTGAAATTTTTGTCAATTGCACATTACATATATTTAATAACCGTGTAAAAATTAGTGTAACCCCTTAATCCATTTATTATGAAATGGGCTAGACTTGGACTAATCCTAGAATTAGGTCTAAGTATGTTACCGAAATGTATTTTCCGACGTCAAGACCAGCAAGTGGGAGTCGTTCGTGGACCCAGGATGCCATCTCGCCTTTCGAATCTCGACCATTGTGTTGAAATTGTCGAATTTGTAAACCCTGCAAATGCAAAGACACATCAGTTTGCGGAGTGGGCCTACCTCGACCCTTTTCGTATCGAACTTTTGTTCGATACGCAACTCTGTCGCGCTTTTGGAACTCCAAATGTCGGATGCGATCCATTCGCGAAAAGACGAAATCGACAACAACGACGTGCACCGTATCCAGAAACGCGTGGTTACCTGCGTTAACGTGGATAGGGTACACGTGTGGTACGCGCTGGTACGCGCGCTAGGGGTGACCATAAATTTTGATAATTCCGAAATTGTGACAGAACGAAGAAAAATCCCCGCGAGACTGTGGTGCAAAGTGCGAATAAATCGTTGCGTGTGCCTTTGTCAACGAAGCATGAAAGGTTGGGCGCACAAAGGGAAAGAGAGAAAGCCCAAAACCAACCCCTGAAGAGCGAGAGAACGAGGAAAAACGGAAGGGAGGGGTCAGACCGAGGCGCTGGGGTTGACCACGTCGTCTGGTTTTCGACCGACTCTCTCTACTGGTGCGTGCATGCGTACATTTTTATCAATTATTAAGAACTCTGGCGTGCTTTTGCAACGAGTCGCTGGTGATGGTAAAGTTACTCTCGTCCTTGTCGTTGGTGTGCCTGGTGTAACCAGTCGTTGCCGGCGATACCCTATGCCCACCGACCTTTTTTGTTTCCTTTTCCATCCACCCCCCCCCCCCCCCCTCCCCGCGCCTCTCGTCTCTGCCCTCTCTCGTTCCCTATTTGCGTCAGGTCCTTTCTCTCCCTTTTTCCACGTGACTCTCTCTTTTTCTTGTGTCAACCCCCCCCCCCACCCCTCTATCCACCCTTGCACGGTACCGTGCCGCGGACATTAATAACGGCCACGGGCTAACCACCGTCAACCCCCTTTGCCAGCGTTACCGTGTCCAGCCACGGAAAGTGCGAGAGTAATAATAAAATATACGAAATGTAGGCGACCATCGTTGCCACGGCCCGGCTCGTCCCGTGAAAAACAAACACCGCGACGCTTTGGTGTATTCCTTCGTTATGCGCGAGGGTACGACGATCGTGAAAGATTACGGTAATTTGCGTTAAATAACGACACGTCGCCTGGTGTAAGCAGTGGAACGAGAGACATGGATGCTGCCTTTCGGCACTTTGCTGCCCGCGGAAATTACGGTGATTACTAATAATTTTCTCTCGAGGATTCCTTTATAACGTGGACGCACGCCAACAGGACACTCGGTGGGGATTTGTCCACGAAACTGTCGCGAAATTGAAATATTTTCTTCCAAGTGTCGCCAGCTTCTTAAAAATTAATTTTTCGAAAAACCGCTACGTATGGCGATAGCTGCATCAATAAGATTGATCAAATATTCAGGACTTTTTTTCAGGAGAATTAGTACTAGTCTGTGATTGTAACTGTTCACAATGGCTTGCTGTATAAGGGAAGTCTTTTAGGTACAAACGGAAAAATTGGTTGTACTTATAATACTGTTACGCCGGGGGGGGGGGGGGGTTGAAACACGAGAATCCATGTTAAACTATATATAACGTTTATTAACAAACTTTAACTTTTAACGATTTAAGAATAATTCAACGATAAACTTAGAGACTTGTGGCGATACAAGTCTCCTCTCTTTGAGATCTCGAATCGCTCTCCTCTATTTTAAAAGTTTGCCGCTTCCTGGCAACCGGAAACGTGGGAACTCGTTTCCGCAACTTCACATCGTCGCAACATTTTCACACCGTCGCGACGATGTAACTCGGA